ACATTTCAAATGGCAGAATTAGGGGGGAAGGCCACCAGGATTGCGGCACGGGGGTGTGGTGGTTAGGACCATCGCCTCACAAAAAGAAGATTCTGAGCACGAGTCCCCAGGGGAACCAGGACCTTTTTGCCAGAGGGTTCTGGGCTGGAGTCCCGGGGGAACCAGGACCGGAAGGTTCTGGGTTGGAGTCCCGGGGGAACCAGGACCTTTCTGGGTGGAGTCTGCATGTTCTCCTGTGTCTGAGGGTTCTCTCCGGGTTCTCCGGCTTCCTCCCACCATCCAAAAACCTGCATGTTAGGTTGGTTGGACACTCCAAACTGCCCTTAGGAGTGAATGTAAGTGTGTGTGGTTGTTGGTCCTTGTGTGTCTCTGTGTAGCCCTGTGATGGACTGGCGGACTGTCCAGGGTTGACCTTGCCCATTGACCACTGGGATAGACTCCAGTTCTCCCCGCGACCCCATTAGGGAATAAGCGGTAATGATAATAGATGGATGGAAGGCCACCAGGATTCCCTGATGAGGACCGGCGAGCAGCTCTGAGCTTAGCCCCAAACCGTGGGACAACGGGCCGACATCACCAGGCCGTGTCTGCTTTTCCAGACGTAATCAGCTTTGCCACTCACTTCTCTGTGTTAGTCACTCCACCTCTGAGCAGGAGGTTTTTCTCCACTCTCCCCCTCACTCGCCAGCAGGTGGGCTTCTGCTTTGCTCTTTTTCTCCGTGCTGCTCATCGGTGACTGCGAAATAACAGCGTCAGCCGGCTCCCCGGACATGTCCAATCCATCACGGGGCCACACAGGGGGCAATTTAGAGCCTCCGGCTATCCCAACATGCATTGTTTTGGACCGGAATACCCAGAAAATAACCACGCAGACACAGGGAGAACATGCAAAGCCCCCACAGAAAGTCCTGTTCCCCCTGGGACCATAACCGGGAACCTTCTTGTTGGGAGGGGACATACTGCATGTTTGATGGAACATGGGACCAAAATGTACAGCACATACCACAGGAAGTCATTCCTAACTCCTCCCTAAACACAGATCTGTGTGATTAATGATTTTCTGTCTTATTAAATCATCTACAGATAATCAGTAATAACTCTAATTAACAGTATCTCTAGATCTATTAAATTTGGTATATAGAATATATCTTTCTGGTGTGCAGAATATTGTAGATATTTAATTACATAAGTGTTAATATTTATGTTTTTGTTGGACTGATTTCTAAAACTCTACTTAGCCTTACGCTATTTTTTATATATATATATATATGGCCACTTGGCTGATGGGTTAGGATTTTTATAACATAGGGTCATAGTTTTTAGCCAGGCAAAAATTATTGGACATTATGGGATATGGAGGAAAACTACGTTCAGAATGACTGTATGTTTAACAATGCTGGTCATCTGTACAGACTTGAAATGAGTGACTGGACTCCATGGAAACGCTGCAAACAGCTGTCCTTTGGGCAAAGTTTTACAAGGTGAAGTGCAAAGATATTGAGATAAAGACACAGAATAGAGCAGAATAGTTATGGTCTAAACTCGATAAGGACTCTATCGTAGTTCATTCTTCTGGTGCATTTAAAAAACAGTAAAGAGAACTAGCTGATGAGGGACAGAAAATATTTAAATGTAGTTTATTGGTTTCTTTGAAAGTAAATCAGAACATCTCCTGAATTAGTTCATGGCCTCCAAATCCCCTGAGCTGTAGTTACATGTGATACTTTATTTTCCCTCTAGAGTTGTTCAAAACACAGATGGCTCTCAGTGACCTGCGTGTCAACCAGTTAGTAGTTTTATATCCCAGCTGTCACGGCACAGGTTGTCGGTTTATCAAAGAATAAAAAGTAGAGTCTCAGTAGCCGCTGTTTTTGTCTGGAATAACGAAGTGGTCCAAGGCCATTTCTGAAACCATCGTGAAGTTTTCAGTAAAGGATGAATTGGCCATGTACGATCCGACAAACTCCCCCTAAGAATTCATTTTCTTAACCATTGAGATGACCGGCCCAAGGACATTAGCTTATCAGCATCCTTCAGTCAATGGACGACTGATTCTAAATGTTTGTCAGACGTCTTTCCATCCACTGCATCCCCACGTGAAGAGCACAGGGCCCTGGCACGCCTGACCCAAGGCCCAGGTGGGGTAAAACTGCCCATACAGTGGTGTTTTTTCCCCAGCTCAGTGACTGCTAATCCATTAGCCGTCAGGATATGACTGGGTTCAGTGACCTGATGTCTTTGGAGGAACTGACCCAAGGTGAAAGAGGGCTGCAAATGACCCAGAAGCTAGTTTTAGACGCTGACATACCGACCGAAGGCTGTAAAGCCCGGGGCGTCCCCCTCTTGCTGCCAGGCTCCGGCTGCTGCACCGCAGCTCGCCCAATCCCTCCCGGGCAACGCGCCCAGAATATCTGAGCTGTGAGACGCTGGCAACCAAGCGTTTCGTGTCGGCTGGAGACCGTCTGAGACGCTTTCAGCTGAGCCGAGACCTGCCATCAGCAGCCGGGAAGCCGTGAGGTGGAGCGGAGACCCGGTCCCTCTGCGGAAGTCGTAATCATTCCTGAATGGATGAGGGATTAATAACTACACCAGGGGTCTTCAACGTTTTCCAGGCCAAGGACCCCAAACTGATGGAGCGGGGACCCCCTAATTATTAATTACTGTATGAAATTGTGTTATATCAAACCGCTCCTATAGTGTGTAAATGTACCTTGTTATTAGGCATTCAGGTTAATATCTTCCTGTTTTTACTTTAAACATCTGGTTCTGGTTCCTGGTTGGTGGGACAGGTGTTGTGAATAAAACGGTGCCCAGCTTGAAAGAGCTCCTGTGTGTGGTTGAATGTGAGCGTTGATGACTGAAAGACATCTTCTCCATTTCTCTGTTTACTACAGTCTGTTGAATTCCTATTAACGTGTATTTAAAGACATTTCAATTAGTGGAAAAGATTGCAGGGGGGGATATAAAAAAAAAAGTCTAATCAACCAAAACTTTCGCGACCCCCATGCAGGACCTCCGCGGTCCCCCTAGGGGTCGCGGACCTCCTGTTGAACACCTCCGACCTACACGATTCCCGACAAAAAACGCAGAACACAGACCTCTCTGGACTTGACTCAGACTTTAATGGGCATTTTTGGCTTGATAGATCAGTCACATCATTTCACGACTTCCTGTTTTTGTTTCGGGTGCATCACCGACCACCTCCTGACATGTAGCGTCCATCACAGTGAGAGAGTCCATTCGGGTGGAACAAACGTCAAACATTGCTCACACGGTCGGAACCGAACTGTAACACGGTTAATATCAAATGGCAACTTTTCAAGTTAAGGTTTTAAGGCGCCTTTTAAAGGGATTCATGATCTGCAATGTCATCAAAGACAGCCGCAAAAAAAGGAAAGCAAGGGACCATTCACTTAATTATGACAGTGTAAAAAGATTTTTGCCAAGAAAGAACACAGTATTAAAGACAACATTTGCTAAAGACAACAGTAAGGTGCTTCCGACCGGAACAGTTAAGATCCCAGAGCCAATCGGAAAAGGTGTGAGGAGACCCCCCCCAAAATCACCTCCTCAATCATCCCAGTCTGAGATATCTGTGTTGGACGGATAAATTCGGTTCACTCTTAACGGTAAGTCCACGGACAACAGTACGAGCACACACTCACACACACACACGAACAGGGCACAAATAACATCAGCCACGTGTGAGAGCTGGCTATGGTTCTTTTCTTTTCTTTTTTTTTTCAGTTGGACGTGAATTAGACCGCACGTCAACAAGAAACATCACAACACCGATTTGGGGTGGTAAAAAAAAATAAAGAACGGGACGAAAAGAAAAGCAAAAGAGAGAGAAAACCGCCCAGATACTGTGACCTGCTTGGAAAAAATGCACTGAGTGAAGGTAAATACATTTTTGACATCACTCGGCTGTTTTTCTGCTGCAATTCCCCGGTCTTCGCCCACGATTTCGGTGGAATTTTCCCCTCCGGCGTGCGCAGCCTCTGCCTCGTCTGATGACCCCTCTGACCTGCGCCATTTCCTCGTCTCTGCGTTTAAAAGCCGGCGGGAGGGGGAATCTCGCTCTCGGGGGCTGAAATTGCGCGTAATTATCAAATTGTCCCTCCGGCGGAGAGATTGCGCTCATTACCGAAGCCGGCGCCGTGCGCCCGGCTCCCCGTTCTCCGTCCTAAAGGGCTGCCGGGGATCGGCCCCTGATCCCGGATCAGCTGCGGCCTGCTGGCACTGTTGGGTTGGCACTCAGGAGGACTGATCTGCGATCAGATTGGAGCTGGAACGGCACGAAGTGAAAAGAAAAAACCCACCCAAAAACGACTCACAGTTTTCTTCCAGTGTGTCACTTCCATGTGAACAATTTGGATTTCGAACAGAGCGTCCGATACGTGGCGCCGATGCTCTGAAATAGTCTGGACGTGCGCCTTAAACTGGGGCTTTAGTTTGGTTCAGTTTGGCTGAAAAGTAAGAAGAATTCAAATGAATAACCTTTAGTCTGATCACCAGTTCCACAACTCAGTGAATTCCAACACAAAGGCATCTTAAAAGCTCATTTGTTCTGCCTTTCATCGACTAAAGAACATCTACATTCAGCCAATCTGGACTTCTTCAGTCTCTGAGGGACTTTTATCGTCTACAGAGACGAATGTCGGAGCTCTTTCTGTAAACCTTCCGACCCGATAGACCCCCAGGCATTCTGCATGGACCACTGAAACCGTCCTGTTCACATGGAAGTCACTTTGTCTGCGTGGAAAGGGTCATTTCCACCCTCCCTCCCAGAGCTTTGGTCGGGTAGTAACGAAGCACCAGTGGAGTGACTGAAGAGAGAATCTGTGTTGGGCTCAGCTGATCCCCAATAAGATGGCAAATCCGTAGCGTCACCTGGGTTACAGAAGCTTAAAAAGAGCAGGACGGGGGAATAAACGGCAAGTCGAACGGGTTGGGACGGGTTTGGGGGTGGGGACAGTCCAGGTACCGGGGTCCCCGGGTCACATGGCCAGAGCCCGGGCTTTGGCGGCGGCCGCCTGCGCCCGCTGGACGGCGCCCTGGCTGCTCTCCCTCCTCAGCAGCTGGTTGGTCTCGAACAGGCCCTCGTGGCTGCCTCCTCTGCCTCCGTGGCCGCCGTCGCCGAAGGTCAGCACCCCTGCACCGGACATCACAAATAGCCCCAAAGATGTCCAGCAGTGCCAACATGAAGCTCATGTGACGCCTAAACAAACATGGCCGCGGGAGCTTATGGATCCTTTGATGGGAAATCTGAGCTACTGGTACCAGCTTTGGGGTCATGGTTGTCCAACATTGGTGGCAAAGCTTCCAGAAAAGCTCATTTTGAAGTGGCATCATATTAAAACTACTGTATTTTCTGGACTATAAGTCGCCCTGGAGTATGAGCATGTTTACTACATGCTTTATAAAGAACAATAAACCATAAATAAGTCGCATGGACTTACAGGTATGTTAACTCAACATGAGAAGTTCAGATGATGATTTATTTGTCGTACTACGCTGCCCATGATGCATTGCATTTCCGTTTCCGGTGGCCACGTAAAATTGTTTTATTTTGTTAAATTAATTGAGAATCTACCGGTATATTTTTCATTCATAAGTCGCTCTGGGGCCAAAAGACGTCAAAAAGTGTGACGTATAGCCTGAAAATGACAGTAGTTTGCTTTGGCTCTGAAAGAGCCCCAGATGCGTAAAAATACTTTTTAGATTCAGTATTTTTGGTAGCTCAGATGTCCACCACGACCCGGCCTTCCTTCAAATGCAGAAATACAGCAGAGCCTCTCTAGAGCCTAAACATACGAATTTTCTAACATCCGAAGTGAAATTCGATCAAATATTCGACTCGACACCAGAAGTAAATTTCCAACAAACGACGTCGAAGTAATAGAAAAAAAAAAAAAAAGTTATTAAACAAAAATAAGCTAAGTTAGTTTAAAGTTCACGTAGTGAAAGTTAGAGCAAGTTACGGTCCGCCCTGTATGTCTCCACCTCTACCTCGCCAATAAGTGCCAATAAAATCCCCTTTTTATTAATTATTTTTTTAATAATTTATTTTTATTTAAAAAATTGTTTTTACATCTTTCTTATATAGTGAATTTCTTTTATTGCTATATGTAATTATCTGCAGTATTTATTAAGGAGTTATCGTAGGATTTTGGGCTGTGGAACCAACTATAGGAATTACAGTGTATTCTGATGGGAATATTTGAACCAACATAGGAACATTTTAACATACGAAGTATGTAGAGGGCAAAACATGCTGCTCATTTCTGAATGCCGACGGTCTCTGGTCTGAAATGTGTCACAGAGGTGGGAGTCTTTGTCTGCTGCATCCACTGTCTTCCAGGGGGAGCAAGACAATAATCGCGACTACATCGAATTCGACTGTTTGAAATCGGGCTGATGCTTTACCCCAGAACCTTTTGTCTCCCCTTCTGCCTTTTCCCCCCTCAGTCTTCCTCCCGCTAGGTGTTAATGTATCGATATGAAAACAGCAGCGATCACCTCTCACATGTCACGCTCCGTCTCTATTTTTACCCGCACAAATATCAGCCGGTTGTCACAGTGACACGTCGATCCGCCCTCGCCGCCGAGCAGCCTTCAAAAAATAAAAAAAACGTGTTGATTGCCTCCAGAGAAGGGACCCAGACACGCCGTGCCTTCGGGCCAGACAATTAGCACGTCTCGCTGTCATTTGACGGCACGAAATCGGAGCTTTTCTCTTCTCGTTTTTGGCGGGGAGCGAGGGTTGGTTTCAAAGCGGAGCGGGACAAAAATCGGGGCTCACCGTTTCCGGCCGCGCATCCGCCTTTGAACTCCCCCTCGAAGCGGGTGCCGTCGAAGCGGGTGAAGACGCCGGCGCCCTGGAACTTCCCCTGCACGAACTCCCCCTCGTACCTGGAGAAACGTTGAAAAAAAAAAAAAAATCCTTTTCAGCTTTGAAATCACACAAGAGTTTTATTCAGGATTGAAAATCACCATGAAAGCTCTTCTAAAAAAGGAAAAGGAACTATTTCCCAGCTTTTAGAAATACGAATAAAGGCTGTAGTGCAGTAATACAAAGATATTCTTCGACGTGAAAGCTTCTGAGGAGCAGACGGTGCTCCGTATTGGTGGAGAGCAGGGCGAACGGGTCAATCTGCACTAGACATCTCGCTCTGATAGAAAAATGCTGAAGTCCACATCATTCGAGCCTCGGGGACGTGGCGGAAAAATGCCGGGCTCGGAAAAATGCACCTCTTTAGGGTTTTTCGGCCTGGAAACGAGCGCCTGCCGAAGCCTGAACTCCACAGCTTACCGAGGGACCGGTACATCTGCAGAGATGTTTAGTAACGAAGTAGAACTACTTAAGTACTGTACTTAAGTACCAAAATGCAGTGTCCTTACTTTATTGGAGTATATATATTTTTCCCCTACTTTTACTTTTACCCCACTACATATTTTTGATTAATTTGATACTTTTATTTTAACTTTCACGGGCTGAATCGTTAACCGTTACTGATATGTAACGTAATGAATCATCCCCAAGTCATAGTGTCAGAGCCAGAGCTGTAAATAGCTCAGTCACCGTTTGGGAAGCTGGCTCCTCATTGGGTGATTTGAGCCATCAATATAGCCTATAAAAAAATGCCTCCCGAAAGATTGCGAAATCATGGCCTTCAAAAATTCCCCGTCTAATCTGAAGAAGCATATCAAGGTAAGTCAAAAAATACAATGACATATAAGCTAGTAAGTAAGCGCTAATTCAGTTCTCCCTTTTCACTCGTAGCAGCTAACATTAGCTAACATTAGCTAAAGCTAACCTAGCTGCTACATGATAGCATAAAGGGTCAGCTCAGGATTGTCTTTTTGCTGCTCTTCAAACTGCCCCCTCTGGCCTTTTGAGATGTTTTATTTTCTGTTATTTGTAAACACCTGTATGGCCTTTCTCACGTTTGAAATTTTATAAACAATATATATCAAACTTTTGACTGCCTTTTTTGAATATACAGTACTTGTACTTTTATTTATACTTGTACTTTCGATACTTGAGTAGCAAAAAAATGGAGTACTTCCGTACTTCCACTTAAGTATAGTGTTGAAAGAACACTTCTACTTTTACTCAAGTCAATTTTTTTATATAGTACTTGTACTTCTACTCCTCTCCTCTACTCCAGTACTTTCTACATCTTTGGATTTAAGCAGCTGTGCCAGTTCACGGCTTTCTCACGGCGTACGCGACGAGTCTTTCTAACACCTCGGTGTCTCCCAGACACTCCTATGCAGCGCGCTGACTGCAGCCGCGCCGAGCGCCTGCAGGAGGGGAATAATGAATAATAAAACAGTCGATTAATAACTAAAAGACGGATGCGTTTCGCAGCCCGATCCTGCCTCTGTGGGGTTTCTTCTCCGGAGCGCTCCAACTT